AAGAATGTAGCAGGACTCATGTTCTCTTGTGAAAACTTTGGTATTAAAAAAAAGTCTTTAACTTGGTTATTAAAGATCTAATAATCTATTCACATACACATAAAAACATTTTTTTTTATCTTGTTCTGAGATCAATGTACTAAGAAAGAGCAGATGCCATTACTGTAGATTCTACTCATGAATGTAATAATCTGCCACTGCAGTTAGACTTTTTATTTAAGGAATATTTAAAATGATTTAAAAAAGTCTTAATAAGTGTAATTGCTTTAATGCACTGGCAGATTATTACATATATTTTTAATAGAATCTTTTCAAGATAAGATTATTAATTTAATCTTCTTTTGCATGGTATTTTAATCTCAAAGCAAGAACCAAAATCCTTTTTTTTTGTCTCAATAAGTGTGTAGAACTTTTAGACGGATACATTTTGAAGTGTATTGCTCTAGCTCTATGTTTTAAGTCTTGGTCCCTGTCTCTCCTTGGCATGTTGATGTATTCCATGATGCTGTTTCATCACCAATATTCTCCCCAAAAACCTCAGAGTTCTGCAGAGAGAAGGTGGATTATTTTGCAAACAGGTCAACTTTATAGGATGGATCCCTAAAGGGTGCGTTTGATTTTATTAGGCCAAACAAAGCTTCCCAAACATTAGACCATAGGTCACGGATTTGCAGGCCGTGATCCGGATCCGGACCAGCTACTGGATAATCCGGACCCAACGTGATTTAAAACATTTGTAAATTACCGCATGTTGTTCAAATGTAGTGTAAAACTCAAGTGTTTTATAAAATATGTGAATCAGGAAGTTGTCTATATACCAAACTGAACGATTGTTGTTCTCTACTTCAAAAAACACTTTAGATTTTAAATTATTTTTTTTTTTTAGATGTTTTTATTTAAAAAGTCAACATATAACATGGATGCATAAAAACCTCATTTTATTTCAGTGTTAAATTCTGATTAAAGTAACAGATTATAATTAAAAATGTCTCCGGATCTTTACTGGTTGTTGATTTACTTTATTCGAACCCCGCTGGTTTTTATTTGGTTATCCCTGCATTAGAGCCTGTGGAGTCACATGAGGATTAGAGGGTCTCCAATTATGTTTATGGTTTGAATTTTGTTCCCTTATAATTGCAAAGAACATATTTTGTTCGTTAAAATTAGAAATAAAAATGCAAACCTTTTCAGGATTGCATTTAAAAAATTTTATTTACAAAATCTGTTTTTCCCCCGTTTTGTTTTATGTATATTTTAATATGTTGCTAGC